TTCCTCTATTACCCTTAGTTTTGGGTCTTTTAACTCACCCTATGATTGTAGTTAAGATATAATATCTCTAAAAACATCAGATGATTACATAGTAAACTTCGCACGTCTACTACCTCGCTGGCTACATTAACGAATCAGCCGCACGATCTATGTTGCGTAATCCTAGTCCACATCAAATAGGTCGATACTTATATGAGGTCGTATCAGGTGGCACTATTATCTATTGATCTGCATTGGCCTATTTTTCTTTACTAAAATAAAATTGGGACTTGTCATCTTCACTAAATAAAAACAATTATCAACTATTTACAAACATACTCAATTATCCCTACTAAATCCTTCCTCTCGCCCTAACTGTAATTTTATTTTTCTCGTCACAAACGGTATTGTTCCTGGGCTAAGCAGTTTTAGCTCCTATTGTTTTAGATTGCGGTCCCGCGGAGCCGCTCCCTCGGCGGGGCCGTGGGCAGCGTGGCGTCGGGGGCCCGCGCGGCGCAGTCCTCCTTCAACATCCCCAACAGCAGCAGCGGCCCGTACGGCTCGCAGGACTCGGTGCACAGCAGCCCGGAGGACGGCGGCGGCGGTGGCGGCGGCGGCAGCGGCAGGGACCGGCCGGCGGGCGGGGGCCCCGGCGGGCCGCGCCTGGTGATCGGCTCCTTACCAGCCCACCTCTCGCCGCACATGTTCGGAGGTACGGCCCCCTTCCCCGCGCGCCCGGCCCCGCACGTGGGCCGCGGCCACCGGGTATTTTTGCCCTTCTCCTTTTCGCTTACCGTCTTTGGGTGCTGGGTCTCCGGCGCCCGGGCCGCTCACAGGGAAGGGAGCGCACTTAACCCCTGCGGTGCCGCGGCCGCCGGTCGTGCACCTGCACGCTCACCCGGTGGCTGCCCCCTGGAGAGCCGTGAGGGCGGGGGGAGTGGAGCAGGTGCTTCTTTAAGACCGACCAGCATCTCTCGTGGTTGTGGCTTGCAGCCCCCAGGGAGGCAGGAGGAGACCCGGTGCCAAATGTGGTTCTGTCTGGGAACTTGGTGTGGGGAGCGGCACTAAGGGCCCGGAGTCAGGGGCTCTCCGACATTGGGGGATTCGAGAAAGCGGGGAGTTAATAGCTCTTTGGAGCGAATGGTTTCACCTACTGTGTACTTTTTAGTTGCGTGAGGGCGGTAGCAAAGTGTGTTCTTTAACCCAGCAAACCGCTTCTACAGACTATGGTTAATGTGCTTAATTTGGACGTAAAAAAAAATTAATGGGCTTAATTTGGACGTAAAAAAAAATCGCGACCAGTTTCTTAAGGAGGGACGCTAAAAATGATTACCACTCTGCCCACAAGGTGCAGTAGCTGGCCAGGAGCTTTAGGAGAGCAGGGTTGCCTGGAGTTAAGTGGCTGATGAGACAGGGACGTTCTTGCTAGCAAAGCCATGTTCTGGAGGATGCACTGGGTCTCAGGAAACTGAGCTCGGCCTGTCCAGTTGTGTTTTTTGGGCTGACCTCCTTCCAGTCGGGCAGTAGTGTGTGACTGTCCTCCCTGCCCCCCACCCCCGACCTGATACCAGGTAAATTCATGATGGAGTGCGGTGGAAATCTCGTCTGTCCCCCCCCCCCCCCCTTGGCCCCTTGGGGAGCGGAGTTGGTGAAGTGCAGTGTTGTGGTTAGCTACCCTGCCTGCTAGCCTGAGTTAGGATGGGAACCTCGTGTGTCCCGGCTCTGCAGTCCTGCTGTCACACTGCACGACCATGCCTGCCTTGCTTTGTTGTAATTTCTGCGTATGTAAACTGAAGTGTTGGTGTTTACTGAAACTGGTCCATCTTTTAAAACTGTCTTGTTTTCAAGGAGTGCTGCTTGTGTCCTTACGTGATTTGCTCACAGCTGACGCGGGTGAAGGTGCTGTGGGCACCGTGGGGAGGAGTGCTGGTTTCCTGGGAACTGCAGACTGGCTGAGAATCAAGGATTACTGGCTTTTAAAGGGACTTATGTTTTTGAAATGAAAATTCTCACTTAGCAGTTATGATCATCAGAAGATACGGATGTTGGAAACTTGCTAGAGGGGAAAGGCTTGTCAAATTAATAGTTAATAGTTATTCAACATACAGACGATTTTTCACTTCTTAAAGTGCTGATCTCTCCCTTTGGCAGTATATTCATATGCATTTAGTGTAAATATATTCCATTCAGAGCTGGAGACAGTTGACACCCACAGTAAAGTAGCCAGTGACAAAGACCTAGTTGCTGAAAGTTGAAGGAAAAGTATATATCTTTTTTCTTAACTGAGTTCTTAGATTTGTGCACTTGGAAAATAGTTCTTTTGGTGCTGCCGGGCTTAGGATGACTTGAGGATTTTTAGCAGGACAGTGACACTGTCTGAGGACCTCGTGACAGCCTTCTGTGTGGGTCCTTGGAGAGAATTGAGCCCTAATATCCTAAGGTGTCTGTTGTGTGCAGTGAGGTGATTTTTCTCCAATACCATGATGCAGGTGAGAAAGCTAGGTTGAGAAAGGCTGGAAGCAGGTCTGAGAAATTACCTGTTCTTATATGATGGAATCAGATCAAAGTGCCACGGCCTTAAATGCTGTTGGGACAGGGAGATGGAATAAGGCACTGCCTTAATGAGATTTGTGGATGAAAATTTTTTTAATTTTATTTATTTATTTATTTGACATGTAGAGTTATAGACAGAGAGAGACAGAGAGAAAGGACTTCTGTTGGTTCACTCCCCAAACGGCCGCTATGGCCGGCGCTTGCGCCGATCCGAAGCCAGGAGCACTTGGGCCATCCTCCACTACCCTCCTGGGCTACAGCAGAGAGCTGAACTGGAAGAGGAACAACCTGGACTAGAACCCAGCGCCCATATGGGATGCTGGCGCCACAGGTGGAGGATTAACCAAGTGAGCCACGGCGCCGGCCTCCATGGATGAATTGTTAAGGAAAATAGAAACATATTTCTCTTCCTCCTTAGATTTCAGGAGCTAGGTGATAACTCATTTTAAAATTAGATGTTCTTATACTTCAGGTCAGTTTTTTAGTATATGTTATACTATGTGAATGTGTTTATGCAGTTACAAATTGTACAAATGTTTGCACATATATAAAGTAATTCCTGAAAATCGAGGGAGTATTTTGAAGTAATGGAAAGTTATTATTTTAATTTGGAGGTTATTTTGATTTTATTATTAATGGCTCCAAATAAGAAAAATTTAGTGAAAATTAACCTCCTTTTTTGGACTGTCATAATTTATTGAAAATGAAACACTAAAGGTAAACAATACCACTTTTTTTTTTTTTTAAAGAATCTGCCAAGTCAAATTGTTAGTAGCTCCATCTTAATGAATCACCAAATTGAAAAAGAAGGTTTTCTATGTTGGTTTTAAGCTTTGCTCTTATTTAGATATATTTAGGCTGCATGCACTCTTAGTTCTTTCTAGAGAACTGGAACACAGCTGCCTAATTCAGATACTTCAGTTTGCAGAAATTTAGAATTGAGTTATGGGGCATCGGTATACAATTACAAAAGAGTTTTTGGGTGAAGTAGGTCTTTTGTTATTTGTTTACTGGTGAGTTTGATACTATTAAAAATGAACCAGCGTGTTCTCCTGACTACTACTAGTATTTATCTTTGTTTTAGAACAGGGTTCAGTCCAATATTTGTTAGCCTAGGTAGTATCTTAGAATTTGTTTGGCTTTATTGTATGTCTGTTTTTCCCACTATGAAGTTGCTGATGTTCATAAAAACAGTATGGGTAGTGAAAGAACCTCTGTTTCTACATCAAAGATGCAAGTGTGCATGTGTTGGACTATAAACATATACCAGTGGAGATTATTTCCAGAGGAATTATGTAGACTTCCATATGGATGCTGGGTTCGCAAGTAAGAAACACATAAAATGAATTAGTTGGAGATAATCAACCCTTGGTACTGTGTTGCTTTTGTCCTCCTAAGTATCTGGCGCTTGGTGGGGGTGTGGTTTGCTTGATTGTAATTGAGGTACCTCCTGTTACTTAGGAAACATTTTTGCTTGTATTGAAGGAGCGTGTATTATTTCTTAAAACTGAGTATGTTTAATCTATTTCTAGAGAAAGATTTATTTCTTTAAATTTTCAAGACAGGTGTCGAATTTTATGGTGTTGGATTATCTCCATTAATTGTTATTGAATTTTTCTCAGTTGTTACTTCTTACTAGTATCAAGTACCAAAATGTTTGAATTTGGGATACTGTAATTAATCTTCCAGTTCTTTTATTCAATTGAAGACTTTTCTGGGGAGTGGCAGAAAAGCAATGTCTGCTTCTGCCTAAGAAAAATGACACTTCTGACCACAATTCCTGCCACCCTTTAAAAAAAATGAGACCTTCAGTGATTAATGTTTCTCATTTGTAATCTGGTATATCTATTCTATTTTTAATTTTTAAAAAAGATTTATTTATTATTTGAAAGGAGAGTTACAGAGAGGCAGAGGCACGGAGAGTGGGAGAGGGAGAGAGGGAGAGAGAGGGAGAGAGAGAGACTTCCATCTGCTGATTCATTTTCCAAATGGCCACAACTGCAAGAGCTGGGCTGATCTGAAGCCAGGAGCCAGGGTCGTCTTCTGGGTCTCCCAGGCAGGTGCAGGGGCCCAAGGACTTGGGCCATCTTCCACTGCTTTCCCAGGCCATAGCAGAGAGCTCGATTGGAAGTGGAGCAGCTGGGACTGGAACTGGCACTTATATGGGATGCTGGTACTGCAGATGGTGACTTTACCTGCTATGCCACCGCGCCAGCCCCCATATATCTTTAGATATTATAGGGGAGACCCCTTACACTGTATGCTGTGCTATGCTAACATGTGACCTGTGTCGTGGAAATTTTTGAGAGTGCTCTTGACTGCAGAGTAGAAAGTGGCCTGGAGAGAGGAACGGCATGATGCACAGGGCAGCCATCATGGGCTCTGAGAGCCGTGTGACCAAAGAACCCGGGTGCTTTGCTGGCTGCTGTGGTGCCTGAGAGACTAGGAGCTCTGTCGTCTTACTAATGGATCATGTGTCCAGTGAGTTCCTTACTTCCCTTTAGTTTGGATGCTTCATCTGCTGACCTCTAAGTGGGTTCTTATTTCTAGTTACCAAAGTGGTCAATTAGAGCCATTTGTTTCATATTGTTCTGTGTTTCTAAGGAGAATTGCTTTAATGTTATTTCATGTACAAGGTATACATACAGTTGGGTGTATTCAAAATAGATTGAAAGAGAACTGTGGTACATGCCTTATATAGCAAAGTACTTCCCAAGTTTTACCTTGTTATGTAAATAATTCTTAGTACTGTTGCTTATTTGAAATGTTTTAATTTTGCATATGCTTGTCTGATTCCACATGTATTTAGGTGTTTAGAAATTGTGGGAAACATCAACTTTGGCGCACTGCGCTGATCTAAAGGTAGGAGCCAGGTGCTTCTCCTGGTCTCCCATGGGGTGCAGGGCCCAAGCACTTGGGCCATCCTCCACTGCACTCCCGGGCCACAGCAGAGAGCTGGCCTGGAAGAGGGGCAACCGGGACAGAATCCGGCGCTCCGACCGGGGCTAGAACCCGGTGTGCCGGCGCCGCTAGACGGAGGATTAGCCTGTTGAGCCGCGGCGCCGGCCCTGATCAGAGAATCTTAAGACTCCATTTTAAATGACAGAAACACATCCCAAAATAGCATTAAGTAGAAAGATGATATTGTCTCAAACCATT